CTGGGCTTGATAGATCCAGGGTGCTGTTTGGGGAGCTGCTCTCTGTCCCACGGTGCGGGTGTATGGGGTGGGTATAGGGGAAGATCTGAGGTAGGTGAGGGGGTAGGGGGAGTGGTATTCAGTGTGACTGCTCATCTGGGGCTTGCAGTGTATGCACCAGTGCTTCTCTCTCCTGGCCAAGAAACAGAGCTTAGGCCTGCCTCCGAGAGTCACTTCTCTCCCCTAGAGGGCTGGCAGAGCCTGACACCAGCAAGGTGTGCCCGCCACAGAGAAGGCATCACAGCTACATGTTAATTAACCAAGAGGACATGGTCTAACTTCACGTCTCATTGTCAGAAAACGTTTTTACCAGAGGACGTCATGCCAGGAATTCAGAATTTGTGCTGAGCTGCGCCCTGCCCTGCAGTTACAGCTGAGAGAAGGTCAAGCCTCCCTCTTCCTTAGCCCCTGCCTCCTCTTGTCTCTGCCTTCTAAGGGAACCACTGCCTCACTCTAGCCCTCCAGAGATTCCATCCCCCTCCTCCTTTCCTCATTCTAGTCACCAAACGTCTCTATGGTGCCTTCAGAATGTGAGATTTTTTTTAATGCACACAGTTTTGTTTTAAAGCAGCGTTAGTCTCGGGGTTCATGAATTAAAACATCACACTTAACTAGACCATTATCTCATTCATGGCTAACTCCTCATGGCTAGATCCCCTGCACCCACTCTTTCTGCCAGTTCCTAGGACTGTTGAAACAGGAATGAGCTATAAATTGGTTTGAGGATGGTGCAGGGAGCTTCAAGATGAACTTTCCTTTTTCTGTTCATCAGAAGGAAAAGAAATTAGATTTTGGAGTCATTTGACAAGGGGTAGGAGCGGGGCAAGGAAACAGTTACTTAATTATTAATAATCTTTTTAGCAGTCGGATAGGTTTATCACTGAGGAAACCCCACGGGAGGTCATGTTACCGCCCTGGCACAGAGGAGTTCCGTCCACAGCTGTTGAATGATGCGTGAGTATCACCCCGCAAGGAATCCCTCCCCTGCTTGGTATTTTATATTTTGTTCCCTCAGTTTGTCCCTTAGGACTCTTCTTCCATCACAGACTGTATCAACGGAAAACAAGAGATGAGTTTCTTAGAAACAGCTTCTGTCAACAGTCCCTGCACCTCCCTCCACCTCCTCTGCCAAAAGTGGTGAGGCTGTAAACAGCTTTTATCAGAAAACTGGCACTTGGAAGACATAAAACCAATTAGGGAGCTGTGAAATGACTCAAGAGAGCATGATTGGAGAGCTAGAAGGACGAATACACACATACCAGACAAGAGCCTTTAAGATGTAACCTTTTGGAAGACAGCATGGATTGTAAATAGTCAAGCTCTAAGTTTAATCATTTGGTAGTTACTGAACTTCTTTAGATACGTGTGTGTGTGTGTGTGTGTGTGTGTGGGTGTGCTTTGTACAGTTGCTGGGCTGAAGAGATTTATCAAGGGGAAAGTCTAGATAGTTCTTCAGGGAAATGTTTTAGGTGTTCTTTTGCCTTGTGTATTAATCTGCTCAGGCTGCCAGAACAAAGTATCAAAGACTGCGTGGCTTAAACAACAGAAATGTATTTTCTTGCAGTCCTGGAGGATGGACGTCCAAGATCAAGGTCCCAGCAGAGTTGGATTGCCCTCAGGTCTCGCTCCTTGGCTTGCACATGGTTGCTCACCTGCTGCCTCTTCACACAGTCGTTCCTCTTCAGGTGTGGACCCCAGGTGCCTCTCCCTTTTCTTACAAGGATATCAGTCAGATTAGATTAGGGCCCCATCCAATGACCTCGTTTAACCTATTACCTCTTTTTAAAAAATTAAAAACAAATAGAGGCAGGGTCTCACGATGTTGTCCAAGTTAGTCTTGAACTCCTGCGCCCAAGTGATCCTCCCACCTCAGCCTCCCAAAGTGTTGGGATTACCAGCGTGAGCCACTGTGCCCGGCCACCTAATTACCTCTTTAAAGGCCCTTTGACATACACATTTTGGAAGGACATAATCTATCCACAACATCTTGTTTGCTTGCGTTGGGTGCCAAGTAACACTCTTTCTTCCCTGTACCCTCTCTTTCTGCCAGTTCCTACGATTGTTGAAATAGGAATGGGCTGTAAACAGGTGAGGAAATTGTACAGGGAGCTTCCATAGCTTTCCTTTTTCTGTTTGTCAGAAGGAACAGAAATTAGATTTCAGAGTCATTTGACAAGGGGTGGGAGGGGGCAAGGAAATAATTATTAGTAATCTTTTCAGAAGTTCTGTAAGTTTATCAGAGGAAAACCCGTGGGAGGTCACATTATAGTGTTTTCATTTGAATCTAGGACAAAGAATGGGCTTGGTAGCTATAGTTTCTCTCCAAATCTAGGAATGCGTAACACTGGTAGGTTTTAGTCTCCAAGGGTGTCTTGTGTAGCAGTAGAAACCAAATTCACTACAAAGGAGAGGCTGGAGCAAGTTGTCATGTGATGCCGCCAACTTGCCAGGTCAGGACTTGCCACCACAGCCCAACTAGCTGGCAGTCCCCTGCCAGGATACAAAAACCCTTTAATGACCTGCAGAAACCAGATGGCAGGCTTTGCTTTTCAAAGGAAAGAGATCATGTCAGGACCTCTGGAATTAAAGGTCCAGATTATTTTAAAAGGACTGGATATAATGCTGTTTGTGCAAAAGATTTTTTTCCATATTATGTAAGTTTTTCAAGGTGCCTACGATTATTCAGTAGTCTAGAAGAATATACACTATAGAAAGAGATCAACCATGTTTCCTCTGGATGGTGGGATTATAGGTTTCTTCTTTTAATTTACTTGCACTTTGTAATTTTTTAACAAAGAGGTTGACATTCTTAATAATAAAAAGGTTTTTTTCAAAGATAGGAGCATTTTCAATTTGTTATTTTAGTCTTTCACTTACTCTACTAGCACTTGACAGCATAGAAATATCACCTTTATTCAGTGAGTTTGCTCATCAATGCCACATATTAAAATGTGTGTAACTGCCAATGTCTTAGATGAGAGTGACTGGATGTGATGACTTTAGTGTGGCTCTGGGAGACATATCTTCCGTATGACTAGGGTTACTGGAGCTCTATGTTTCATGTCCAGGAGAAACAGGTAGGTCTTCTAATCTCTCCGAAGGAAGAAATTTCCTGATAGCTTAATACCTGATTTAACCTTAGCCAACCAAGATACTTTATTTGAAATGCAATTGTGTTTACTTGCTTTCTTTATGAGAATGGGAAATGACATCAGAAAGAAATGATATTGTATGTTTTTGCCTTTACTTTTACGTCAAGGACTACTGAAATCATTTAGTTTCAGAAGCACTTTATCTGTAATAAACACCATCATGAAGAGAGGCTTACATTTCCCTTTTAGGCTACCTAAATACTTTTCTTGTCAAATAATAGCAAATGGAATTATTTACACAATTGAAGCAATTCTTTAATATTGAATACGTAAATTTATCAAGTTTGCCTTATATAGCTACTTCTATTGTGTTTTTGAGAACCATAGAGGTTTTTCATGGAAAAGGACACATCCAGAGATACTGGGAGAGTATGTGTATGATTTTCAACCAAAGACTTAGCTTTTAACAAGGATAATTTTCTTAACTATAAAAACCCTTATTGACCAAAAATAAGAAAAGGCTTGAGTTAAAATTAGAAAAAAAAATCTTAGAGAATACACTTAAAAACTACTCCTTGGGGCTGGGCTCATGCCTGTAATCCCAGCACTTTGGGAGGCCGAGGAGGGCGGATCACGAAGTCGGGAGATCGAGACCATCTTGGCTAACACGGTGAAACCCCGTCTCTACTAAAAATACAAAAAATTAGCCGGGCGCGGTGGAGGGTGCCCATAGCCCCAGCTACTCGGGAGGCTGAGGCAGGAGAATGGCGTGAACCCAGGAGGCAGAGCTTGCAGTGAGCCAAGATCATGCCATTGCACTCCAGCCTGGTGACAGAGCAAGACTCCATCTCAAAAACAAAACAAAACAAAACAACAACAACAACAAAAACTCAAAACTTTATTTTAACTCATATTTCATATGTTTGATTTCATATAAACTCACTGAGCTTATTTTGCAGAGGTATGCAAAAGTCATTCTTGTTAGCACAGTGATTGATTCTTTTACTTAATTTGATTTCTTTTCCTTCATAGGGAATATATTAGTTTCCCAAGTCCATTGGAAAACTAGCAATGATAAAACTACATCATTTAGCCGGGCGTGGTAGCTCACGCCTGTAATCCCAGCACTTTGGGAGGCCGAGGCTGGCAGATCACCTGAGGTCAGGAGTTCGAGACCAGCCTGACCAACATGGAGAAACCCCGTCTTACTAAAAATACAAAAAATCAGCCAGGCTTGGTGGCACATGCCTGTAATCCCAGCTACTTTGGAGGCTGAGGCAGGAGAATAACTTGAACCTGGGAGGCAGAGGCTGCAGTGAGCTGAGATCACACCATTACACTCTAGCTTGGGCAACAAGAGCGAAACTCCGTCTCAAATAAATAAATAAATAAATAAAATACGAAAAATTAGCTGAACGTGGTGGCAGGCACCTATAATCCCAGCTACTCAGGAGGCTGAGGCAGGAGAATCTCTTGAAAGTGGGCAGCGGAGGTTGCAGTGAGCCAAGATCATGCCATTTGCACTCCAGCCTGGGCAACAAAAGCAAAACTCTGTCTCAAAAAAAAAAAGAATGACATCATTTTAAAGCTGTTTTCTAGTCCAGAGCAATTTCTAATTAGACTTTGTGAAAACAGTTTTGATTTTATTTAAATAAATAAATGGGTTTATTAATTTGTCAAGGACTTAACGAAAGTGTTATACTTTTAAATGAGGTACCAGAATAAAAGACCAAAACACTTAATATGCCCAATGCATGCTCACTGTTGGCACACGGAACTTTCAGAGAATGATGAGTCCATGGTGTGGAGGGAATGGAATCTCTGAGTACAAACTAAAGAGTTCCCATTCTGTATTCTTACACTTAGTTACTTACCAACCTCTTTACTGATGGCCTCCTGGGTTCCTGTCTTAAGATTCAGTGTAAATGCAGCAAGTCCTGAATTATCTAGTCTCATCTTAAGCCAACTCCATTGACCAGAGCAACCAATGGAAAATGCTAATGACTCTTAGGCATGCATGGTAAGTTTAAACATAATGTATGGTTCATGACCAGCCTGGGCAGCATGGTGAAACCCCGTCTCAACAAAAAATACAAAAATTAGCCAGGTGTGGTGGTATGTGCCTGTAGTCCCAGCTACTTGGGGTGGTGGGGGGCTGAGGTGGGAGGATTACTTGAGCCCTGGAGGTTGAGGCTGCTATGAGCTGAGATCACACCACTGCACTCCAGCCTGGGTGGCAGAGTAAGACCCTGTCTCAAACAAATTAAATTTAATTTAATTTTAAAAAAAAACCTCATAATGTGTGGAGGCACAGGAGGATTGCCAAATGTCCTTCACAAAAATTCTAGTCAGCCCCTGTGAAAATTAAAAAGGATTTTTACATTTCGACTACGAATGTGCTGCTATTGTTGCCTGAAGCTTTTACTTCTGCATTTTTAATTTAAAAAAATTAACGGCTTACCTTCAGAACAATTGTAGGAAATGTTACACAAGACACAAAGTCCATTTCTAGCAGACTCTACTTGCTTTCTGTTTCACTCCTGGGTTAATACATTCTTCCTAACACTGAACATTTGTCTATGCCGGTGTTCGAGACAGGAATTGAAACACTTTTGCAAATATGAATTCACATGCCACCTTGTGAGTTCTGGTTAAATGTGCCAATTAGACAATTATGCTTACTATCACTCCCTCTGGAAATAACTCCTAAATGACATTAAATAATTTTAAACGGCAATGTGATTTTAAAAGTCACAAAAACAAAGAGAACAAAAGAAAAAAACGAAGTAGCATAAAAAAACTAGAAGCTGGAAGTGTTTGCACTAAATGATTTAGGGCAAGGTTTCTCAACCTTGGTACTATTGACATTTTGAGCCATATAATGTTTCACTGCAGATGGCATCTGTAGCAGCATCCCTGGTCTCTACCCACAACTAGGGATGTGCTACTGGCACCCCTCCCTAGTTGTGACAACCAAAAATACCTCCAGTTATTGCCAAATGTTCCTGAGGGTAAAATTGCCCCTGGCTGAGAACCACTGATTTGGGAAATAAGAAAAATCAAAATGTATCCCCAGGAAAAGTCTAGAACCAGGCTTACTCTGGCCGAAGGATGCCCCACTCCCCTCACCTCCGACCTCCCAAAATAAAAAACTCAGGAGCTAGAGGCACCAGGCAGAAAACATCACTGGTTAAAAATCTGTAAAAGAGGTAGGTTGAATTCTCTGTATGTCCTCTGCTTTAAAGATTCATTCTTTAAAGAGGCTGAATCTTGGGGCTCCAAGGTTGAAGACACCAGGCACAGCTGAGGGTGAAAGTTCCATACTGAATGTGGGCATTATATAGAAACCTACTAAACAAGTGTGGGATCCCAGTTCTTTGCTCAACTCAAATTCTAAGAACACTGGCATCTAGGTACCTACTTTTTAGGGAGGAGACTGGAAGATTCTTCTGATAAAAACAGACCGAGCCATTAGCAGAAAAAAAATTGACTGTCACTCAAATTTAGTGAATTGTCCTGGCCAGATCACCCTAAACCCTAAGTAAAATCTACCAGTCAATGTCCTCTCCCTCTCTTCTCCACACATATCTTCTAATTACAGGCTTTTCAATGCCTCACTCACATGCAAATAGCCAAGAATGGCCAAGCATTTAAAGAAAGCCTCCGGGATGGAAGAGAAAAAAAGAAACAGGAAGGAACTGAGAGAAAACAGAAATATTGGGGAGCAGATGCAAAGTTCAAAAATGTTTTAAGTGAAGCTTCCCTTCTCAGCTTGGTTTCCAAATAGCATTTGCCACTGGACTGGGGGCACAGAAATATCCTCTTGTTTCAGAAAATGTAAAAATGTGCAAAGAATGATGAGGTGATGAGATAGAACATAGAAGCCAGCTTGAAGCAGTGTCCCCTGGCCAAAGGAGGACAATCTGAGCATAAAAATAAATAACAGTATAGAATTGTAAACCTTGATTACAATAGAAACCCATGAGTCCATGATGATATAAACAAATACGAGAAAGGGAAAGCACTTCCTTTCAGTAGAATGCCACCTAATAATTGTAGAAGGAATAATGGAAATAGTTAATTACCATTTGGCAGCACAATCTGTGGTAGCTGACAGAGATGAGGTCATCAAGGGATGCTAAGGCTGGTAGGTAGAAGTTTGGTGAGGAACAGGTATTGGCATAATCTCAGAATATTTCTGCACAAAATAACCAACCAAATGCAAAGGGAGGACTGGTGACTTTACAGTCGAGAAAACTGGCAGACTCCAAGTGATCAAGGGAAGTATCACCAGTGGTGGGATGGGTTGGCCTTGTATTCCTGATGTGATGGGCTAAGAAAGAGCACGGAATCCCTGTTGTAGTTAGTATTTCTTCCAAGAAGCTATGACTCTACTCTGGCTGTGGGGAAACACTGGACACACCCAAGTGGATGATCATCCTACAAAATGAAAGGCCTGTAGTCTTAAACTATGAGAGGGTGGACCGGGTCCGGCGGCTTATTCCTGTAATCCCAGCACTTTGGGAAGCTGAGGTGGGCAGATCACCTGAGGTCAGGAGTTTGAGACCAGTCTGACCAACATGGAGAAACTCAGTCTCTACTAAAAATACAAAAAATTAGCTGGGCGTGGTGGCGCATGCCTGTAATCCCAGCTACTTGGGAGGCTGAGGCAGGAGAATTGCTTGAACCCAGGAGGCGAAGGTTACAATGAGCAGAGATCACGCCATTGTACTCCAGCCTGGGCAACAAGAGCAAAACTCTGTCTCAAAAAAAAAGATATGAGAGAGGGGTGAAAGGCTGCAGAATTGTTCTAGACCAACACGTAAATACAATGTATGTTTTCATATGGGATTCATATACCTTAAAAGAAAAAGAGGCATTGTTTGGACAGATGGTGAAATTTCTAGCAAAGATATCACATTTGGCCCAACAACTGCAATCAGGGCTACTTTTTAGTCCACAGTTACCCTTCAAATTATTTTTGTTTGTTTGTTTGCAGGGGACAAAATGGTGAATTAAATGGAGATATGATGGGGTTTACCACCCCTGTATTCTTTAAGTTTTTAAAGGTGGCACTAATTTCTGCCAGACCCTCTGTGATGCAATATTGTTTTTGCTTTACTATTTTGCGTGTGTGTGTGTGTGTGTGTATGTGTGTGTGTAAGAGGGTACCAATTTCAGAGCTTTACACTTGGCCGTATTCACCCTGATAGCTCTTACTCCACTGGCCAAAGAAGCAGTGTGGGGTTGTGTTAATTGCCAGGAATGCCTATTCCAAACATACATTCAGAGACTAGGAAATGACTATGGATGAGTGTGCAGACCCAGTGAATTCACTGTAAGCCACACCTGAGCCATAACTCCATTTATTACCAGGCCCCTCATATATTCCCCACCATGACCAACTGCATATATATTTTTAAAGGGCCCAGCACAAACTGAAAATACAGGACCCCTTGTTAAAAAAATTATTAAGAATTTCAAGAGGGTAACAGTAGAGCATTAAACCAATAATTAAACCACACATAGAACCTTCTAAATGTGAAGTCCTGCGTGGCTGCACACGTCGTACATTCACAAAGCCGCCACTCTAACAGGGTCCCATGACGGTGGTTCAGGTCTCTGGGTATTACTGTCAACCTGGAGTCTGTGTCCAGCCGTCCCCAGAATGTTTGGCTAGTCCCCTTTCTCCAGTGTGAAGTTACCCAATTAAATGGCTATTCACCTCTCTGAGGAAGAATCGAGAAATCATTACTGCGAATACTTGTGCCTTCCTGGGCACCCAGCCTCTCTTTCTTTCTTTTGTTTTTTGTTTGTTTGTTTGTTTTTGAGACGGAGTCTCGCTCTGTCACCCAGGCTGGAGTGCAGCTGTGATGTCGGCTCACTGCAACCTCTGCCTCTCGAATTCAAGTGATTCTCCTACCTCAGCCTCTCAAGTAGGTGGGACTACAGGTATGCCACCACGCTCGGTTAAGTTTTTGTATTTTTAGTAGAGACAGGGTTTCACTATGCTGTTCAGGCTGGTCTCAAATTCCTGACCTCAGGTGATCAAGTTGCCTTGGCTTCCCAAAGTGTTGAGGTTACAGGTGTGAGCCACTGCGCCCAGCTCCAGCCTCTCTTTCAATTGATGGACTCTGGGACCCCAAACTGGCTTAGTTCAGAAAAGTGGGCAAGACATCTTGACTTTTCATTGGAATGACTATCCTGACCCTCCATTGTTGATGTGTTTGTACAGATCATGTAGCACTCTTTTTGTTTCCTCATGTGTTTTTCCCTAAGCACATTATATTCATTAACCATCTCCATACCTCTCTGCAGGTCAGGCCCCTTGGCTGCCACTCCACCCTGCCGGTGGTTACAATAATTGCATCCACCTGCTAATGATGGTTAAGTACTCCCACTTGGCCTCTATGGAGGGTGTGTGTAGGGGGGAGTGGGAACTGTCCTATCATCCTCATTGCTACACAGTGAGCCCAGTCCTGTAAAGACAGACTGTTACCCTCTTGAAATTCTTAATAATTTTTTTTTTTTTTTTTTTTTTTGAGACGGAGTCTCGCTCTGTCGCCCAGGCTGGAGTGCAGGGGCGCGATCTCGGCTCACTGCAAGCTCCGCCTCCCGGGTTCAGCCATTCTCCTACCTCAGCCTCCCGAGTAGCTGGGACTACAGGCGCCCGCCACCACGCCCGGCTAATTTTTTCTATTTTTAGTAGAGACCGGGTTTCACAGTGTTAGCCAGGATCGTCTCAATCTCGTGACCTTGTGATCCACCTGCCTCAGCCTCCCAAAGTGCTGGGATTACAGGCGTGAGCCACCATGCCGGGCCGAAATTCTTAATAATTTTTTTTTTAACAGGGGGTCCTGGCCTACCTGTTAAAAAAAGAGAAGAGCTGCCACTGAATCCTTAGAGATGTTGGTGCCCTCTCCGCAGCTGTTCCTTATTCCCTTGGCGAACCGTGTAGACTCTGGACTCTCCCGCAGAGCATAGTCATCCATGCCTTACATGGCACATCTATTCTGTTCT